CTTGCCCAACCAAAGTTCCTCCAGAAAATTCCCATCTATAGCAGAAGATGGACTCCTGTTTGTCACATACGCTGACGTAGACACTGGTTCAGCCCACAAATGTTCCTCTAGACCCGAATCAACCCGAGAGAATCTCACCTTCTCCATCAGAGTCTTGTTCATACGTTCAGCTACATCGTTCTGCTGTGTATTATATGCCCATGTCCTATGTCTCTTGATTTCATGGTGCTTGCATAAGTTGTCAAACTCTGCGTTACATAATCTAAGTCCATTGTTTGTTCTAAGACAACACACCTTCTTCTTGACTTGATTCTCCATCAACTTCTTCCATTCATAGAATTTGCTAAAGTATTCTCCTTTAGTAGCTAAGAAATATACCCAGAACTTGTGTAATCATCGATAATAGACAGGAAATATTTCTTCCCTGACAGACTTGACGTCACATCTGGAGATCCCCATAAATCAGCATGTACATACCTGAGAGCTTCACATGTATCATGTTTCCAGATGTTGAAGCTTTAGTCTCTTATGCTTCCTCATCACACAACTCTCACATAAATCCAAAACTTTAATCTTCTTCTTATCGATCACCCCATTCCGGGCAAGAATATGTAGACTTTTCATGCTCATGTGCCTAAGACGTCTATGCCACAAGACTTTCTCATCCATATATGGTTTCTTCCTGACACTTCTGTTTACTTTAACTGACACAGTTTCACAATCTAATAGGTACAATGACCCAGACAAGATTCCCTAAAGAACTAGTTTACCATGCTTGTAAAATCTAGTCTTCCCATGTCCTCCACTATGCAAAAAGCCTAATACATCCAAGGTTCCAGTATATATCAAGTTCCTTCTTAATTCTGGAATATACCCAACATTCGTGAACATTTTAATAGAATCTGCATAAGCTTTGATGTTGATTCTATCAATCCCTTTCACTCCAACCGCGCAATCATTACAAAGAAGAACTTTTCCTGAAACCAACTCTTTAAACGTGCAAAACCAATACCTCCTACTCCTCATGTGGTAGGAACATCCAGAGTCAATCACCCACTTATCATGTTGCCACGTATCTGGTACTGACAGTGCATCTTCCACTGACTCGCGATCTATCACAACAGCTGCTTCAGCTTCATCTTCTCCTCTGACATACTTCTTCTTGTATGAATAGCACTCCCTCTTGGTGTTCCCCTTCTTCTTACAAAACCAGCAAGTTATCCTAGACCCTGCGATCAATCTAGACTTGCCCTTATCATTCGTCATAGGAACTTTCTTCTCAGTCCTTCCTCTAGCATAATATCCTTCACCATTATCATGTGAAGCCGTAGCGGCCTTAAGATCCTAGTCTTTAGACCTTGCTGCACTTGCCACCTCTTCCAACGACCATACTTAAACGTTTCCTTGAGAGAGTTGAACCGTAAATGAAGTGAATTCAGGAGCATAATCGCTTGTACCTCCTTTGATAGAGTTACATTCACGGTTGACATGTAAAAGACAATCTTCAAGAAGTCATCGATATTTTAATCCATACTCCGAATATCGACCATCTTGAAGGTATAGAATTTGTGTTGCAAGTGAATTCTATTCGGTAGAGTCTTTGAAAGATATAACTTCTATAGTATAGAACATGTAGAAGCGGCTGACGTACACAACTCGATCTTCCTTAACACGTGACCTCCAACATTGAGAAAGATTAGATTCATCGCATTCTTTGATCTTTCAAGCCTTTCAGCTTCCTCTTTCACCAACCTCTCTCTGATTACATCTTTGTCTTTATTCTTCCTCATTGCTGATACATGAAGGGACATAAAATCTTCTAACACATCCTTTAAACCAAAGTAGACAGATGTGCAAGCATCCTCTTCTTCCACAGTGAAAAGTCACCCTTCCCATCAAACCACTCCACCTCAATTCTTGCATTCACCATTGAAAACCACACCAACCAAGTCTCTGATATCACTTTGTTGAACCACAACGGCGAACTAGTTTAATTCAAGAACTAGAATCAAACACACAAACTCGCTGATACACTCTTTGATGAACTCGGCGACGTAAGTAAGAAAGTTTGAGTTTGTAGAATAATGGAGACATGAAGAAGAATACAGAAATGATAGAAGATGGACACAAGAAATTATTTACCCAGGATTCACCTAGAATGGTTACGTCCACTAGGGTCTGCCAAGAAGTCAATTCACTATAATCGTAAGTACAAAGATTTAGCAGCTCTCTTTTTCTCTCACAACCAAAGTTTACAAACCAAGGTAGGTCTTTTCTTGGAAAAAGAAGAAGAGAACACACGAGATCATTTTATATAGTAGGAGTCTATTAGGTTAACCTAATTGGATTAGAGTTAACCTAATAGGATTAGAGCATTCGCCCTTTTCCATAAACCTATTAGGAATATTTCTAAAATTCTTGCAACTTCCATAGCTCCATAAAAGTAATAACTTAGGGATCTTGCCAACTTACATATCCAAGTGACATTTCCTTTTCCTTATATGACGTCTTTGTCGTAATTTAAGTTTATGCGATCTTGTTTGATTTCTATCATTAAATTCTGACGAAGTCTCTAACGGATTCCTAATTTTCATGACGTATTCCCTGACGAATCCCACCAATAACTCAATCACAATCTCTGGTGGCTTTATTTAATCATAATCCCTTTGGCGTGTGCTGCCTTGTGTTATTCTTAAATCAGAAAATTCTGGGAATAGCGGTAGGAAGAAATTTGAATGGGAAGAGCAACAACTTTGTTGCTCTGATTGGTGTTGGTGTGATGACGGCATAACATGCTTATAAAGCCATGACAGTCAATTCTGTCTTCAATCAATTATAACATCACTGAGTAAATACATAATAAGATTTGGAAATTGGCTGGTCAAGTAACGTTAAAGATTAAAACGCTTGGTGAACAAAAGGTAAGCATGTTTTGGTTCATGAAAATTTAGTGTTTTTTCGACCAAATTTGTTTGTGGTCTTGTCTAGTCTCAAGTTTTCGGGGTCTGCTTGAGCTGCGGTGGAGCTCGACCATCACTAGTTAATTCGTTATGATTGGTGGCTTGTCGCTGCGGTGGAGCTCGATATCAGTTTCCTTGGTTTGTAAGAGTTTCAAGTAATATTCTTTGTTTATACTTTATAGAATTTGGCTTGGTCCAGTTATATGTGTTTGTCTCTCGAATATGTTTTACTTGGTTCTGGATGATAGTTTCGTTAACTCGCTGAGATTTTGTCTCTGAAAAGATTGCGATCTTGTTGACTTTGGGATATAATTAATGGATTTTAAAATCCACTCAGAATCTTAAGTTAGGGTTTGGTAAATGTGTATAAAAAAAGTACAGATTGATGATTTGGTATGAAAAAGTTTATCTACTCTATTAAAATAGAGTCATTCTTTTTATCTACTGATACAAGTTGTCATTTAAATTTAGACCCTTTTTAAAGTGTTACAAATAATACAAGTTATATAGTTGATTGAACCGCATTACTTAAATTAAACCGACGATTATTTATGGAATAGAGTTTTGGGCTTATTTTTGTTTTTATAACATTTAATTGTTTGGTTTTGGGGCTTAGTATTAAAGAAAAACTCCAAAAAACATTAAATAAACTTTCCATCTTAATGGATCAAAAATCAATTACTATTTTCAGTACCAAAAAATATTTAATATTTTCAACAAAACAAAATTATCTATTATTCATCACTTATTTAAATCATGTACTTTAAAACATGTTAATATTTTTTAGCCCAAAAATATTTAATATTTTCAACAAAACAAAATTATCTATTATTAATCACTTATTTAAATCATGTACTTTAAAACATGTTAATATTTTTTATTTTAAATAACAATCCCTCTATCTTGATAAAATTTAATGCTAACTTTTAAATAATTTATTGTTTTCTTAAATAATTTACAGATTTAAAAAAAAATGTAAAGAAAAACTAAAAACCAAATCTAAAAACTAAAATCCAAACCCAAAAGCTGAAAACGCAGATTATATTTTTTTTGCTTTTTTTATTTACAAAATAAACTATTTCAAAATTTTAGAAAATTATTTTGTCATCTTTTCAGTTTTAAATTAAATGTTCGATTAATTGAGATTTGTTTGTTGGTAATATCAGTTCAAATTAACTCAGCGGGTCTAAAAATTAAAAACCCAAACCAAAAGCTGAAAATCAAAAATAGAAACTTAAAAACTAAAAACTAAAATTTCAAACAAAATCTAAAAATAAAAACTGATACTAAAAACTAATGAAAAACAATTATCACCAAAATTTTTGGTAAACTAATTTTATATCAGAACATTCTTTAAATTAAGACAAAACTCAATTATATAAATTTTTAATCATAAAACATTTCCGCGTTTTTCAAGCGCGGGTCAAAATCTAGTATTTGATTAATACTTAGAATAGAGCAATGTGATACATAATGTATTAACAAGACAATACAAAAGTATTCAAAGTATAATTTTTTAAGGAAGAATTTGGATCTCCTTGTTCTTTTCTTTTGTCTTTCTTTTATAGGCCTCTAGGAGTGGATCGTAATAGTGACGTGATCTCCGGCAAGTATCATGTGTTTGTATGGTCGTCTCTAATGCATTGAGTTTCGTAATACTTTATTTTGAATATTTCAGCTCGACATAGACAGTCTCTAAGATCAAGATGGGCATCAAACCTTTGTGGGTCCATTGCATTCTCCGACCGGATGAAACCCGTCTCCAACAATAATGATGGGGATCAAAAACAATCAAAAGTATTGCATTTGTGTAAAAAATTCATCCAAATAACAAATAGAGTGTTATAAAACCATTGTAATTACTAATTAACTGTGATACAAACAAATAACGGACTTAAATAAATGTGGAACATTAAACAAAACATAATCTTTAAAAAAAACACAGAACTGAATTCTTCAAGATCGAATCTCACATGTGCTGATCAACAAAAGTTTTGAGATTTCCAAACGAATACCCTCCTTCTCTCACCATCTCTGCTGCTATACTCTCCACCTTGCCGCATTCCTTCTAAACTCCCCCGCCTTCTCCTCCATCACTTCCTCAAGGTACCGCCGTATCTCCCCACCCTCCACCACAACCTCGTCATCTTCCTTCTTTTCCATCAGTACTCTCCCACCTATCCTCCAACAATCTCCTAGAAGTTTTGCATTCGTCATCTGATCACTCCACCACGAAAACACAACCACATGAACTCCGGCAACCAAGCTTTCCAGCGTCGAGTTCACCCGCAATGTGTCACGAAACAACCAATCGATTTATGCTTCAAAATTCTAAACTGATGACACCAAGAAACCACCATTCTTATCTCATCCAGCTCTTCTGTTAAACTCTTTATGCTGTCTTCTTTTATCTCGTCCTTATCTATTAGAGCATCCAAGACTTAAGCCCATTAGTATTCCAAATATCAAAAAGAAAGCCCAAAATGTTTAGGATTTTCAAGAATGTATATTTGATAAGTATAGTTCTTATGAGAATAAGAATGTAATTTTGGGAGTGCCTCAAAGCAACTATCTACCTCTTATCTTTGTATGAATCAATATATGTTTTAATTTGTACAAAATATACACGAGAATATATTCACTAAGATTTAAGCTCATTGTGTTCGAAAAATCAAAAGAAAACCCAAAACAGTAAAAAAAATCAAAAATCAAAAGAAAACAGAAAACCCACAATATTTAGCTAGGGTTTCCAAACAAGTAGTTTGTATAAGTATAGTTCTTATCTTTGCATGAATCAATCTATGTTTTAATTTATACAAGATCTACACGAGAATATACTCATTCTCCAATATGATCTTCCTTAGTTCTGAAAGACTTTTCCGCAATCATCCATAAAATTTTTCCACCGACACTCTATCAACGCCTTGTAGAGTTTTTTTTGGTGAAAATGTTAAAATTTTTACCATTTTTCATTTTTTTACAATGTCGTGAAACACAAATTATTACAACAACACAAACAAGAGAGAGGAGAGGAAACAAAATACACAAAGTAAACAGAGGGGACAGCTTCAGAAGGAAGAGAACTAGCTGAAGGGATCCACAAACCAAAAGTAGAGCTGAAGCAGAAAGTGAGCCGAGGAAAGGACATAAGGTATCGATAGTAACATATCCCTCATAGAGCAGTCAAACAATCTGACTAAGGCATGGGGTGTCAGAGAAGAATCCCTAAAGATACGAGCATTCCTTTCCCTCCACAGATTGTAGACTATCACTTGAAGAAGCAGCTTGTAATTGATGATGACTTGTAATTGATGATGACTTGAGAAGCATATTGCCCTTGGAACTGCTGACAAAGTTGAACCATATCATGGAGAACGTGTGGAGGAGAATCAAGAAACCTGCCACAAAATAAGACAAGAGAGCAGAAGCATATGGACAACAAAAAAAAAAATGCTGGTGTGTTTCAACCCCGACTACACAAAATACACACGTATGAGGTAAGGTCAATCCCCAATAGATTAGCACTCCCCTTGTCGGGAGTCTCGCCAAAAATGCAAGCCAAGTACGGAATTAACATCGGGGTATTTCCTCTTTGAACCAACCGTATCACTCCATGCCACTGATGGCGATCTTTCCCTCAACATATTCCAATTATTCATCACGGCAGTTATCACGGCAGTTAAGGGTTATTTGATGGAGGTCTCGAGAAGGCACGACTTTTAACTGCAACAGTCGCATGCGTTGGATTTAAAACTTTGTAAAACTTTAAATGATAAAAATAAATAAAACTAACTGAAACCTCTTAGTTAGAATGTCTAAATATATGAAACTAAGAAAACGTGTAACAATTTAGATAAGTGTAACAATTTTGATAGTCTAAATATATGAAACTATGTAAACCTTTAAGAAATAAATATATTATTCATTAAGAAAAATAGAGGATAATAAATGAAGAGTAATTTAATTTCTGTAATAATGATTTATTACCTCAACTACAAGTTGTAACTCTTCCATTTAAGAGTGATTTGATAGGCAAACGTGGCTTCCCCTCCACAATTTTCAGATTTATTACCCCAACACAACACGTTGAATTCAGTCAGTAAGACACGACTTTTCACACTAACAGTCGTCTATTATCATCATTACACTTCATTTAAATCCTACAACTAAACCAGATCATCATTACATTTGCATTCAATTTAAGAAACCCTCAATTTAATCTCCACTCCACCGCAGTAAGTTAAGTTAAATCGTCTCCTTTATATCTAAAAACATTTCACCGCAAAGAAAGAATTCATCATCTTTCAAATATGGGACACTACAATAATCTTGATGAAGTTGTCTATAACGAGAAGGTCAAGCATTGGCGTTTCAGAGTGAAAATCATAAGGATCTATCCTTTCTATTCCTATGTTACCGGCTGATATCACTCAAATGTTTAACCCTAAGAAGTGAATTACTCTCTCAAATAAGAGGTTCAGTTGTAGTACTTAGGGATCAAATCCACATGGAACTAAGGAACACAATAGATGTAATCCTAAATGATTATGCTAGGTTGATTAGGTTTAAAATAGTAAATTGCAGTTTTGTAAGCAATGATAAGTTGCTTAAGAGAATGAGTTTTAGGTTTTAAAACAATTAAAGAAAGTAGTTAGATTCAGGGTTTCTGTTCAGATAATTAGGATTATAATGCTATAGATGTTTTAGTGAATTGCTTGCAAGATATATGAGAACTTTGATTCTTAGATAGATCTAATAGCAGTTGCTAAATAGACGCATCCATTGATCTTATTGCCGGCAATATCGACCGATGGTACGATCGCCAGATCGGACGATATAGGTTGCCGTCGGTCGATAACTCTATAGGAGTATCGATCGATATAGCATTAGATCGAATCAAAACTGTGTTCACAAAGATCATAGACCGGCTCTCGCACAACCCTAGAGGATCTAAGCTCATGCCAAATGATTTCAGGACAATGATTAACAAGTTAAATCACATCCATGATCATACTCTAGGTAGCTAATCTAGAGTAAGCATTAGGGTTCATTTGGATAATGAATATCAACAATTCAACATTCCATAGTTGGGGCTAATCCCTCATAACTATTTTAACCCTAAATCTAACAAAGAGATCTACTCATACATAGCTGAGAGATTCATAACAGCTAGGTAATAATAGAAACTCATAGATTAGAGGATTGAACTTTTGGTTCTTGGAACAACAAATCTCTTTGTGTTTTTCCTCTAAATCTAGAATTCTATAACCTTTAAGAAATTAAGATGAAAATAAATACTTTATAGAATAGAACAAAGTAACAAGAAAAGTATGCAAAGCTTTTCAAGTACAAAAAGAACTAGAGCAATAGAAACATTCAAAAATCATGAAAAGCATGTAAAAGCATGTCTAGCCAAACACAATGGCAAAAACTATAAATAAGAGTTCCATTAGGTTAAAAACTCATCAGGGGCATTATTGTAATATTGGGAAGACTTGGGCTTCAAGTCGGCCAAGTTGGATTTGTTCTCCACGCATTATATTGATCGATGGTACATGGTGTACATCGATCGATGGAGTATCTCGACTTCATCTTCATTAGAACCGTCATCGATCGATTACACAGGGTGTGTATCGATCGATATGTATCCTTATTGTCCGATCTTCATAGTCATCTCGAAAAACTCTTCTTTAAGCTCCAAAAGGGCACCTAAATCATCACTTTACTCCAAAATTCTCCTAAACCTGAAAACATAACTAATAGACTCCAAAACATATATAAAACTCATAAAAACATATCAATACCATGGCTAAAAGTGGGTCAAAATCATGGTTTATCAACTCCCCCAGACTTAACCTTTTGCTTGTCCTCAAGCAAACTATTAGTATCTTTTGGAAAAAGTTTTATAAACAGTAGGGACTCAATAAAATCTTAGCTCTAAAATCATCACTTCTACTTTGTTGCAAGCCACATATCATATTTCTAACTACAGAAGTACATTATACCATACCCTAGCTTAGCAACCAAATGTATCTAGCCAATCAACTTAAACAATCCTATCTGTTTATCCCCTCTACTGATTTCATTTATGCATAAAATAAAGGTGTAGGCTTTACCTTGGGAGTATCGATCAAAGAACACTTGGATTCAACTCATACAAGTTTCAGGCATTCTCATCCTGGTTCCTTTTCTCTCATTATCCCCCTTCTCTGAATCCCAAACTTTCTTTTCTTTTATATCAATCCCAATGAACAACTAATGTTCATCTTATTGATCTTTCAACTTTTGTAGTCTCTTTTTGACAAAGTGTAGGCGAATAGTGGGGTCATAGGTAATGTACCTCTCCCTTGCTTCCACAATGTGTGATCATTCCTTTGATTTAGAATAGTGGGGTCATGGGTAATGTACCTCTCCCTCTGCCTCTCAGGAAATCATCTCAATCTTTTATTTTCTCTTAACGGGATGCCAAAGGAAGGAGAGAAGGGAACCAAAACTTTTGAGACTTTTACCTTCCAGACTTGCATGAGGATTCCGATCCCTTGTATACCAAGCCCCAAGACAAGCAATAGATGTAAGGTTAGGTTGGAAATCGGCTTTGGTTCTTCCAAAGAATCATGAAAAGTGTTGTCATAGGATGATCGGTGATCCACTTTAGCATCTATAGTACTTTCTGCAATCAAAAATTCTAAGAATGGTGCTAAAGAGTAGTAAGATAAAAAGCAAAAAGAAAAAAAAATTGAAATATTTTTGTCTCTTTCTTGACTTAATAAAACCAATTTTTGAAAACTTTTTAAGAGATCAAAAAGGTAAGGTAACATCATTTGTTCACTCCCCCCAGACTTAAATCATACACTGTCCTCAGTGTATAACTAGTCAGAGTTAGAGCATATGAAATAATAAATGTGTAACTGATATCAAAATTGTGAACGATATACCTGACCGATGTTCGTATCGATCGATGGTGAGTCACTTCCATCGATCGTCATGGATAGGGTTATGTCGGGCGATGTAGATAGGGTCTCATCGGTCGATAGAGGTAGTGATCGTGTAGCTATTTTCCTAAAAACAAATAAAAACGAAAGTAGTAAGTAAAAATAAAATAAAACTAAGTAAGAAAATACCTAACAGTGGGTTGCCTCCCACTCAGCGCTTATTTAAAGTCATTTAGCTTGACTATGGAGGTATGGTGGCTAGTGAGGTGGGTTGCACTACTTGTT